CCATTACATTTAAGTTTTCCTAATCATAATTCTTTAGCCCATCATTTGCAGGTTACTTCCAACATGAAAAAAAACCCCACAAAAAAGTCACGTCAGAAGTGTGTTACCAGTCAATTTGTTTTATTTGGTGGTTTCCAGTGGTAGTCAAATTCTGATTTTTACCCCCGTGGTCCTTACATGCACATTAGCGAAATTAATCGTATCTTTTCATAGCCTAACATTCAACTTTTATTTGGTGTAGATCGCTTCTGCATCAGCAAACAGTATGCCTTGCTTTTAAGTAAGGACTTAACTCAGAAGAAAAGATTCCCAAATTTCACACCACCGCTGGTTCTGGACTTCATTTGTTCCTGAACCTCCTTCGCTGCAGCAGCAGATTTTCCAAGCCTTGCCTTGTCGACTCATCTTACCTTTTCAGAATTTGAAATGGTATTATGGACTAACTCCACTTTTAGCACGACAGATGAGTAGTTAAGAATGACAATATAGCACTTGTACGGGTACCTTAGTGGGGTTGCATGAAAATGACTGGATTTATAGTGTCAAAATACCTGAAATTCATGTCAGAGTATTTTCAACTGAAGAATCTAAAATGAAGAGACTACTGCATTACTGTCAATGGAAAATGCAAGTAATTGATGTAATAAACATCAGGGAAAAACCAGTTACATGCTTTCAGTTCTCTGTTTTCTCTGTAATTGAGAAACCTCTTCTGAATAATTTTATTAAAAATAGCTTTAGTTAAACTGAAGAAGTGAGGTGTGATACGAAAAAGGGCTCACAGCACAGGTATCAGCTCTCAGGGCAGCTGTGTCACAGAGTTTTCGGACTTGTTAAAAAAATCCCAGTTTCCCAGTGGTTTATGGCCTTTTTTTTATAAAGGATGGGAAACTTCATACCATGTATCCAAAACCACAGTACAGGATTTCTAAAAACGCCATATGCACATCTAAAGAGAATAGATACTAACTGAATTAAAGCAGCGAGAGACGTCAGTGCTGGGTCAGTTGTTTCAGAACTTGGATCACTCCTAGGAAGTGCCCAGGAATCATCTCAGTTGCTGTGATGCCTGAAGCAGAGCTGATGTAGAAACCCCATGTTTCTCAGAGACTGGTCTGGAGACAGGAGACAGACTGCAATAGAAAAGCAATTTGAGTCTCTGCAGACATTTAACACGGTAAGATGTTGACTTCTGTCCGGTTTTGAAGAGAAGACCAGGTTTAGTTTCTTTACTGCGGTATTTGTCAGTATTTTCCTATTTGAAATCCTAGACATCTTCAGTTTTGTTACTGTGAAGTTTTGAAGAAGTGTTCCCTTTCACTGTGCATTTATGGTTTTCCGCATACTGAGGCGTAAGCATTCACCAAAGTCATAGAAAAGGCCTTGGGGAAAGGAGCAACTTCTGAGTTCAAGAAGCTGGGTGGGTTTTTGAGTGAAACAGCGCCCTTTTTTTTGCCTTTTTATTTTCCTTAACTGCATTATTTGTGAACTAGACATATGTTTCTCATACGTTCTAGTGTAAGCGTTTCCCAGAGGAGGGGTGGGCGCTGTACTCTTTAATCAGTGCTGGCTACTCCATTGCACTGTCCACCAGGCAAACAGGGAGGGCAGAGTAACACAAATGCCCTAGAACTGATGGTCTGCATCTGCAGAGAGCACCATCATTGGCCAAAGGAGAAAGACAGGAAAGGAACTGCGGTCCCTTGATCTAAGCTAGGAAAACGGCTCCCAGGGCTCATCAACGCTGTGCTGTAACACTGCATCTACAGTCACTTTCTACAAACATTTTTCATGCCATAGCTTTCAAGTGTGTTTGGCTCAGAAAGAAAACCAGGCGATGGTGCTTGGCAATGGAGATGCGCAGCCTCAGCTGTGCGGCTTCCTTGGCATCTGAGCTCCCGTACAGGATGATCCGAACCCTGCGACCACACTTCCTCCGTGAAATCCTTCTCAGGGAGTAAGTGCATCCCATCTCTGTGTCCTCTGCTTCCAGTCTCCCAGGAGCCAATACTACTAGACACTTTGTTTTCTAATCCACACATTCAGCAGTAGTTCATAGCAGTATTGTTGACGCCTAAGCATCCTGAATACACGTGAGGCACCATATATACCTTACAAAACACTGTAGCTGTTCTGCTAGAGCTAGCGTAAGGCTTTAAAAATGCAAGTGTTAAAAGGAGCTATTGTGAAATACTTAACCATGTTACTTGGCAGTTTCCTTTCAAATGGAGCTGTTGGGCAGCAGTGCTCCTAGGCTGCTTCACCTCCTGGCGTGGCCTTCTCTAAGTCGTGTCTACCTGAAAGCTGTGAATTTGTACATCAAACCGAAAGGCTTTTTCTTTGTTTTTTTTTCTTTATACACATTCACAAAATACGGGATTTGCAAAATAGTACAAAATGCACGCATTTCGGGTCTGTATATAAACAGTGAGTAGCTTTTACACCACGTAAAAGTGAACATTTCTTCACTTGAGAGCATGCTTTTAAAGCAATCATCGATTTGGGTAAGTGTATTGGAAAGTGGCACTATCCACGTTTTAGCAGCAATAAAAAAGGGGTGGGGAGGCATTAGAAATACAAACACAAAATCTTGCAGGATAGTGATACCCATACACAGCACGGCAGAGGGCTGGGTGAGCACCCGTGTGGGCTCACGGTGCTGTGGTGGCAGCAGCTCCGTGTCCTGCTGAGCACCGCTTGCAGCCCAATGCTTCCTAGAAAGCTGCAGGAGCCCCACACAGGACAGTGATGGAGGAGCCATCCTCTCAGGAGATTCTGCCTTTTTAAAGGTTCATTGGTGACACAAAGGATGAGGCTTTACAGACTTGTTCTGCCTTGGTGCCAGGGAGCGCGCTCAACAGTTGCATTAACGATAAAAGGAGATGATGGGGCACTGCATCTTGACAAGAGCAGGGAATGTTACAGGTCTTAACAGATACACACTTTGGGTGTTTTCTTTTGGGTTAAACCTGTAATTTGTTTGGGTGTGAGTGAGATCCTGTCCTTGGAAGCACCCAAACACACAGAGTTTTCATTCTGGTGACAATGCAGGTATCATGTCACACAGACAAACTATCGCATGGCAGCTTCAGCTCCATTCTCATCTCCAGCACAGCCAAGCATTCAAGTGGTATTTGCTAAAAGTGAGCATGCACGCACTACTATTGCCTGTATTTATGACTTGGTGTGAAAATTGGGTGGTTTTTATGGTGGCTTTTATCTGGTTAGAAGCCCAGCACTGGGTGGTGGTGAAGCATCCTCAACTCTTGGCTTGGGAGCAGGGAGTCACCTGCCTCAGCCTGGGGCCCTACCCATAGGCACTTCATTGTTGGGTGTAGCTGTGCTAAGGACCGCAGTCTGCGCTCGGGAAATGTGCAGCTTTCATCACCGCTGTCTGAAGTGACGTGCCCGCAGCTGACGGCAGAAGTTGGCTGGAGGTGCTTTACAAAGGGCTGTGAATGCTTTGGGTTGCTATTTACAGGCACTTCACTGTCCTCATTCATCCCTGTAAGCTCTTCTGCTCCTTGAAAAAGACCTTGTACCTTAATTGAGAACTGACCACTGCTGACAGACCTCCTGTTGGTTTGCGTTGGACAGCAAACCCACGATGTGACTGCAATGTAAACATACACCTCTTTGCAGAAAATAAACATGCTACCCCTCTAACCCTAAAGCCTAGAGCAACAAGAAGCCAGTTCAAGCCTAAGTATACATTAAATAGCTTTGGAGTCAAATTAAATAACAAGCTAAATCACAAGCACGTAAGATCTCCCGTTTGCTGCCGACCGATTCTTTTCTCGCCCCGGGTCGTGCTTTACATCTTCGCACTGTCTTGTTTCGGTGGTTCTGCTGACTGCGTTTGCAGCACTGAATATTTAACTAGAGAGAAAGAAAGAAGACTGGTGAGTACAACAGCACAGGACGGAACCAGAGTGCAAGCAACGGGTGCCCAGTGCTGGCTGGTTGTGTGTGACACCAGGGAAGCCTCTGCAGCAGCCTTTGTCTGTCACTGACAGAAGGATCCCACTTTTCTTCTGTAAGATACTCTCGTCGGCTGAAAACTTGAGAGCTAAATATTAACTGCCACTGTTTGCAGCACGCGCTCCTTGGACACTCACCATGGCTTTCCTTTGTGTGCAGTAATGGGGGGGGGAAACACCGTGGTGGGTGTTGCACAAAAAGCTGCAGCATCACCTAAGTGGTGTCTTCATCAAAGAGCTGCGGCTCAGTACAGCACGAGGGCCTTGAAGCAAGCCCCTCAGTAAAGCTGCTTTTGTGGCCGGCTGCAGGCAGGGTAAGGGATGCGAGGTTCTCACCTTGGGGTTCCTCGCTCACGACAGCTTCCATGTTTTCTCCTTTCACGTACTCCGCATTAAGCCCCTCTGAGAAGTAACAATAAAGACAGGGAAATGGGAGGTTAGGAAATAAAAATTATGTGCTTTGATGCCTTAAAAACCCTGGTAATGGGCCTATCTGCTGTAAAAGCTAAGATACCTGTTTGCAACCTCCTCTGCGTTTACAGCAGCATGGAAACATCACTAAACCATAGACGGTGCTGAGAAAGTGCTGCTGGATTTTAAAAGTGACCACACAGGCTTGCCTAGAAGGTGCAGCTTTGAGCAGCAGCCCTTGTTTCCGAGTGCCTTGCTTCATCCTTGCCATATGAGACAGCAAAGCTAATTACTGTGCTAAGACGGCCAGCGAGGAGATGTGCGTGGGGTGGGCACATCTCCTGGATGGGGCTGCTGCACGGCGGGGCTGTGTCTGAGCGTAGAGAGATGCTATCGGTCTCATTAAAAGCTAAGTTATGCAGAGCTGCAAGCAGCGGTGCAGAGCAGAGCTGTGGTGATGAAGCAGGATCCCAGCGGGATGTCAAATCCCAAATAAGTCCCTTATTTAAATGCCAGGAAGTTTCCAGTGTTTGCAACAAGTGCAGCCCAGGCCGAGGGGCAAGGCTGGGCACTGCAGGGCAGCAGCAAGAGGATGCACAAGGGGAAGGGGGTGGCCCCGCTCACCGTGGTCCAGCTCAGAGCCGCAGAAGATGGAGTTAAGACTCTGTGGTGCACCAGGGACCTGTCATCCTCTGCAGCTCCTCTAAAGGAACTCTTGGGAGAGAGGCAGAGATGGGAGTGCTGTGTTAATGCTGCATCCCACTGGGGAGGGACAGGGGAAGGGGCCGTGGCCGTGCTGGTTTGTGAAGGAAGCCTGCGGCAATCCACGCTGTGGCATCACACACTTTGCAGGCACACAAATCACACACTTCGTAGGGATCTAAACTTGTTTACGCAGCTAAATGCAGTGTGAAGCGTGGCAGGGACCCGCTACACCTCACCACCAGGTTCTGAGGGGGCTCATTCATATCTCACGGGGAAGGAGGGAGGCAAGGAATGGCGCTGGGGCACAACAGGAGCCCTCATGCAGCAGTGGGGCAGCCGTGGCCTCCAAGGTGCGGGAGAGAAGAAAAGTTTCTGCACCTGGCTAAAAAAAAAACCCATAAAGCCTGCATGGCCAAGCCAGGGGGGCAGGAGGGGAGCTGCTGGAGCAGTGCTGCCAGCCCCATCCTGCCTGGGCACAGCCAACGGCTCAGGGCAGAGGGACACGGAAAGGCCAAGCCACAGCAAGGAAAAAAAAAGCAGGATAAAGAATATTAGGCAGCACTGTACACATCCTATAGAGGAATCAGCAAGTGCTCATCAGAAAAGACTCAGAACCAAGAAACAGAGCCACAGCCTCACAGAAGGGTGTCTGGGCAAGGAAAGAAGCCGAGCCTGTTCCTCCATGCTTCACACACCACCCCTGACTCCCCCAAGACGTGTGTTTTGCTGGGATAACACCAAATACAATTTATGTTCTTCAATAAAAAGCCACTTTTGCAGTGGCTGACGGCTCTTAGATTTCTGTCGTGCATTGCAATGCATCTAAGGCCTGACATTAGCCCAGCATGCCATGTCTGATGGCTTAAATTAATCCTCCTTTATAATTAACTTTAATTTCCTGCTGCCTTTCTGGGGCTTTCTGTCTTTCAGCTTCCCCCTCATCAAACCCTTTACTCTTTTTTTTTTTTTTAATTATTTATTCTTGCCAAAATATCATTTAAGTGAGGGGAATATCCAAG